TTAATGAGCACTAGATCTGAATACCAGATCACAGTCACCAGTTGTCCAGACTTTGCTATCATGAGGTGGACCTTTCCGAACACTGTTAATACTCAAAATCCCATGGAGAAGCAATAAAAATTGAAGAGAGTGAGTCACCAAAATATACAAAAATGTATTAACAAAATGTAAATTCCAATCAAAAAAAGGGAAAATGTCTAAAATCTGAGACAAAATAATATAACCTAAAGTATGTTAATAAAATAAATACATTAATAATAACAGCAACAACAACACCAAAAATAATAATAACAACAATGATAATAATAATAATAATAATAATAACAATAATAATAAATAATTAACAATAATAAAAATTAATAATTAATATTAATAATAACAATAATGTCAATGAAACAATCCTGTTAGAACCACGCCAAGTAACACTGGTTATCAAATGCCACACTATCAAACTCATGGTACATCACCATCAGTGTATAGGGCTTCCTCATCTTCATCAGCCAAGTCTGTATATAATATATCTATCTCTTCCAGGAGTTCTGATTCATTTATTCCTGTTTGGATCAAGGGTAGAAGAAAAAAAAAAAAAGAATGAGAATTTATACAGCTTTCATAAACCTCGGGACGAAAATCATGTGAAATTGAAATCTGTGAAATCCGAGAACTATGACAGTATAAGCAAAAATATATCAGTTTTGAAGTTTCAGCAAAACAAAAAACAAAGGAATGGCAGATTCATATTCAAAAAAGGGTATATGACATAAGATTCTCCTAATGGTAACAATCTGAGCATGCCATGAGGTATCAAAACCAGAAAAAAAAAAAAAAAATGCATGAAATAAATTAAATAAACAATAAAAATTATTATTAGGAAAACGTATTTGCAATATCAGCACTATATCTGTGACCCCCAATAACTAATGCTCTTTACATTCTTAAAAACCTTTTATGTATATGTGTATTTCAATAAATTACTTATCTCTGATTTAGAAGATGACTGTCTGATGCACAGTCAAGTGATTGACAATAAAAATAGAGGATAACTTCAAGTGAAATAATTTATGTAACATATGAGCCATGCAATAAAAAATGTGGGAGAGAGGGAACAAAATTAAATTGACTTTCCACTCTTAGTTAAGAGTTTCATGTGATTTATTTTGCCATTTTTTCAGTAAAGAAATGCAATACTGACTATGCATGGCTTTTATCTCCTTTCTTCAATTAAGCTTCAACTTGAAAGTGAATTACATAACAACCTCAACATCTTGAGGATAATGATATTTTCTGTTGGAGAGTATTTTACAAGCATTGCTTTTAACTAGTGACTTTCAAAGTTATTCTTCTGCCGTATCAAATAACATATATCAATTATGTAATGATATATACACACCCTTATTAATGATTCCTTGAAATCAAGTTTCAAATGTTTGATTAATGTAATGCTATCATCTAAAAATGATCATTGCAGTTTAGTGAAAAAGCCAAGCAAATAGGAAAGATTTTAAAAAGTTGGTGCATATAAACACGAGAGTAAAAGCAACAAAAGAACCAAAAAAAACAACAGAATATAACAGGTTTAATGTGGCCAATGCACAGACATTTATGACTGAAAATTCAATAAAATGAAAAACAAGAATTTAGAGGAAAAAGTCATGGCTGTTATAAAAATTCTCTTGGGCTTTAATTGATTAAATCTTACTGGTTCAAAAGATCCTCGCTTTAGCACACTAAAAACACACAATTCAGAGAAGAAAAACAGAAAAATTTGCAAGACCATGTTCAGTTCCTAACTCAGGCCTTCACAGGGAAGATGGCAAGGACACTTTTAGCACACTGAGAACACGGGGCTCAAAAATATTCTTTTAATAACTTGGTCAATCACGGAATCATATCCACATAGACACTGTGACGAAGGGTATAATGATCATTCAGCCGCCCATAGCCCTAGTCCTGGCTGCGGCAAAGACTACCAACCATCGTCGAAGTCTGCCTCGCTGGTGTCGGGTGGGGGGTCCTCCCCTGAGCCCTCCATGCCTGACCCCTCAAGAATTTGGTCTTCCTCTTCCTCTAACCCTGCTTCACCTGACCCCTCCTCTCCTGGCTCTGAGAGACAAGCTAGCTGCTGAGTTAACAGTCTCACAGGGGAATCTGGTGTTGTGTGACCCTTTCTAAAGAGCTGTCTCACTAAGAATCAAGGGACTTTCTCTACTTTGATTGAAAGTATGCTGATACGTCTTAAGAACCCTTCTGCCCTTGATATAGTTACTGACTCTAATCCTGTTTTGTTCTGCTTGTTTACTTAAAAAGCTAATTCATATATAATAAACATGTGTGCATATAGATACATAATATATACATACACACACACATATATATATATATATATATATATATATATATATATATATATATATATATATATATATATATATATAATTATATATACACATAGCAAAGTTTTGAAATTTCAATAAAATATAATATAATATTTTCTTCATATGCTTATATGCTAAAAATAACAAATATGTACTGCAGATTGCCTACTAAAGCTGGTAAGTATCTACACAATGAAATTATTAATCAGGGTATTAACTCATGAAAAAAAAACTGAATCTGATAAAAATAAAAAAATAGTACTACAACTACTGTCTTACTACATTAGTGTTAAAATAGGGTCTGTTGAAAAGCCATTAGTGTTACAATTATATCTGATGAGTACATGGTTGTCATGGCTGGATATAATATACACTCCCACACAATCAATAATACACAGCTAAGCCTGAAAAATGATAATTATATCAACAAGATCTATTTCCAGTATATCAAATTTACTCAACTACAAAGGGAGATTGTCAACAGCTTCCGTTAATATCTGTTAGCAATACAAAAGGACATTTCAGTCACCATAATCTGGTAGGTCATTTTCTTCAACAGCCGGGTATTCTTTTGCAACCTCTGGTGCTGGTTCATCAGAAAAGTAATCTGCAACTTTTTTATATCCTGTTAGACACATGATCTGCAGAAATCCTGTCATTTCTGCAATGCTATCTCATGCAATGGAGAATCAAAAATACGAAAGTTCAACAAGATATCTTATCTCTGGGCAAGCTTGTGCAAATGATTTATTATCTATCACTAATATTAACTTATAATTATTAAATCATATTAAAAAAAATATCATTGTTACTGCAAACTACAGAATTATGTTACTACTTGTACTTCTACTAATGATAATGATTATCAAAATGGTCTATACATCTTAACAAAAAAGAAAATGATAATGATATTGACAATGATACTCAAAATATAATGATGCAAAGAAAATGAGGATGGCAGTAATGACTACAACATTAACAACAACAGCAAAAACAACACTGATGAAAGAAATGATGATGAAAATGCTACTGGAAACACCAACTTAAAAAAGAAACGAGAGAGATGAAATACTTACTAGTTTCATCGAAGACCTCTTTGTAATCCACTGGCTCCATGTGTGGGTTGTTGATGTCTGGGTAGATGTCCTCGCGAGCCCCGTGCGTGTAGGCCCAGGCTTCATTGGGGTCCCATAGGGTGTAGAGGTGTGTCTTTACCAACACCCAGAAGATGTTGCTCATGATCCAGTTGGCTGTCCATTTCAGCATTTGTACTGGCTGTTGGTAAGGAAGGGAGGTTATTGAAGATATGATCAGTTCTTGTGTTTACAAGAAAACCAAGATAAATAGAAAATGTTAACAGTTGCGGATATGCAATTTATATATATATTTTTTTCTTTTATTAAATGCATATTTTCTCACTGATAGGTCCAAAGCCTTTGGGCATTTCCTTACTAAAACACTAACTAAATTCCAAAGGTAAACTCACCGTCAGCAGAATGGAAGCTGGATTTGGCTCAGTTTGACTATCCAAGCACACTGCCTGGTAGTCGTAGATTTTCACCTTCCTGTAAACTTCACTCTGGACCAGCGACTCCATTATAGTGCCCTCCAGAGTTCCGAAGAACTTGCCTGTGTGTTCATTCTTCTCGGATGCAATAATGAAACCATTGTCATCGAGGAGGTAACAGTCCAGGTAAACACTCTCGCAGGTTTTTGCATTCTTGCAGCTTGAATCTCTCGAGGGATATGAAGGACACTGTTGGTATAATGGTTAGGGATTAGTTCATGGTAGAAGACGGGGGGGCATAAAGACTCATATATTTTTCTTAATCATTTTCTTTCAGTTTTTATCTCACTTCTTTTGCTTTCCACATTTCCCCCTTTTTCTCTCTATAAATACATTACAATCAATGCATCACCAGTCTTTTCACTATCAGTACATTACACAGCAAATTATAGCATCAATGTGAGCCTCCATCTACAAATAAGAACGTAAAATATCTTTTGAAAGCAAAAGCCGAAGAACTGGCAAGCACAATAGCATTTTACATTTGGACTGCTACCAAAACACCAAGGATCACTGATAGCAGCTAAATGATACTTAAAAATGTCCCAGAGAAATACTTTTTTAATATGTACTGCATTATACTACCTTCTTTATTTACAAATCAATATCAATATTTTTTTTAATATTCACTATTATGATGCTCTTACTTACGTTCCTGATCTACACCACATAGTACACTTTTTTTAAATATAATTTTTTTTTTTTTTCAAATTCAAACCAACGTCTACTTAAAAACTAGTTCTACAACCAGTTCACATAAATTTCTTACCGCCTTCTTTGTCTTGAAACCACATAAAGAAACACATGTCAAAACACAATAGTCACGCAATTCATCATCAATTAATATAGTGATTAGCAAACTTTGGATTTCCTAGTCATGTAAGACTTATGTGATTAGATTCTATTCTTATAAGGATTTTCAACCAAATTATAATTTAATCTTGATCATTAAAAATATGCCTTATATCTCATTAATGGATTTGACATAATATATTCAGGAGCACGTGTGAAGGAGAGATGAGCCTTGGAAATTCTACTATACTATTTACACAATAAAA